GCATACCTGAGTGAAAATCGTTGTATCCAACTCTCAGCAGATTTTAGTGATCGGTGAATAAGTCTGTATCAGTATCTTCGATCGATTATAACATCGGCAGCAGCACAAAGTGCCAATGATTAATTATGCTAAAACATTATCTCAGCTACACTCAAAGGCTTGTCGTGATAAATTATACGCGATCGTTCGCACGTATCGCTTGGTCGGACGCGCGAATATAGCTGCAATCTGAATTTATAAAAGTATACGCGTCAGGATGAAAAACGATTAACGCGTTAGAACGATCGCGCATGTTTAATCTTTCGCAATTCGCCGCGATGTATTGATCGTTTGAAATCGATCTCGGCTTCATTATTTCTCGGCTTTTTCATATCTTGAAGCAGCATCTACAGCAGATCGCGAACGCATAGATCTTCATTCGGCGCACAATGAGTCGAGTTCTCCGACCTGTGTGTTTGCTACCTTCATTCCACCAGGTCGAGCATTCGATCGAGCAGTATTAGACTTTCTTGGCTCATAATTCAGCTGCGAGACTTGAAACGAACACCAGGCGCGTAGTAGTAACAAACCAGAAGCAGTAGCAGTAGTAGTTCAGAGACTTTAACCTCTGGTCCTTATCCGATTCCGTTCAATTGAGTCCGTAGTGCAAATCGACGAGCCAACTGCGGGGCAGTAGCAGCAAATAGCAGAAATAACAGTGTCTACGGCGGCGATGGCGGCGGCTACGAAGGTGGATGCGATAATTCTCAATCGGACGATTTGTTTTTCCTCTCGATCAATTTCACCCGAGCTACATAGAAGAAATGAGAAAGGCTCCTGCTACGATATGACTTATGGGCTTGGAGCTCTTAGCTGCTAGCCTAGCAGTGTTGCAGCCGGTGCACTGCAGCAGCGGCAAAAGTAACGTGATGTATGATTCTTTGCCTCGGCTCTACTCACTTGCTTTCTACGACGTGCAGGATCACTAGTCATATTCGATGCAGCGCGATGAGAGCTTGCAAAAAACGAGCTCACGAAAGAGTGAGAGGCAGGCAGGCGGCAACAGCGGCTCTTGGAGTGCATCATGCACACGCAAACGATATATAACAGGCTGCAGATGCCGACGGCTGCTGCTGTGTGTTGTTGCCTTTGTGTTTTATTACAAACGATATGTCAGATTTATCTTGCCGCCTTTTATATCCGCTCTCACTCTCCGTTTGTAGACGAAAGAGGCCCCGTTCCTCTTTCTTTCTCTCTCTCTCTCTCTCTCTCTCTCTCTTTCACTTTTTCTCCCTATCTCTTTCACTGCATCTGTCTGCGTACCGATCTGCAACCCATACACATGAGCATAAGAGCGCATAGATGTTATTGATGTGCTACATTGTCGACGTTGAGCAGCGGTGGACAAGTCTTTGATCGACATACACATCATCGTTTGCAATCTCTTTCCCTCTCTTTTCTGCCGATGTTGCTGTTTTACTTCCTATGATACTGCCTACAATGATGGTGATTGTGATGGTTCTGACAGTGCGTACTGCAATGTGGAGGCGTGCATATGGGCTGTATCGCATCGACTTGAATACAGTATAAAAAACTAAGTACATATTATTTTAAAAACATAAAAATTGAAGAAGAACTTGGAATTCGAGACATCCACAGTATTTTTTCAAGGGAAATTTTCAGAAAATATTAATTTTGTAACACTTTTTATTTGAACTGTATCCAACTTAGGTAAAACTTTTTTTAAAACTCATTTATTTGTCTTTTTAACAAAATATAGGTCTTTTCAGAAATAGTGATACATGATCTAAAAATCTACATGAAAACTCGAAGAAAAACTAATTACATGAAAAATAACATGTTTTTTCAAAAATTCATCATTGTGAAAACTTATTGACGATATATTCCACCTCTAGCACCGAATTTTTTAAATTTGAACATATAAAGTCCATCTGAGTAAATGTTAGAAAATATAATTTGTGAATCGCTTATTTATCATATAATAAAAAGATATTTTTTACTAAGTTGACTCAAAGTTTTTACAAACTCACTTTTACCTATATGTCATGACTTGTCACAAATTAAGCTACCGTATATTATGTCAATCAAACAAAAAATATCTGCCGAGGAAAAAAAATATCAATACCATACAGCTTGGCCAATAAATTATACTATGGTACAATAAATTATCAATTATAATTAACGTTTGTTACTCGAGTCAAGGCGAACAGATAATATTTGCCATGGGCTTTATACTCGATACACACCGCTCATTCAACAACAATCAGGCCGTTGCTCGAGTATATAGCTCTTTGCGACGTGTGTTGCACGCAGTGTGGTTGTCGAACTTATTAGTGACCGCAAACATACAGCCCAGCCGTTATAAAGTGAATAATTGTGTAGTAAATAATGTTTGCGGGCCAGCAGTGCAAATATATGGATGTGTGCGTAAATAGCAGCTGCGCGTGAAAGTTTGAATGACGTGCACGAAATTCTCTCCCTCGTCTTTGGGCAAAGATGTGCGTATTATATATGTATGCGTACTACGTGTAAAAGCGTGTCTGTGTACGGTTGCCAAAGTACGCATTGTATGCAAATATGGAAGTAAATAATGAGCAGCCGACGTAACATTGCAAGTAAAGCGGAGAGTCTAGCTTATAAACATACATGCCGCATGACTTTTAATCTTTTCGTTTAACATACATACGCATAAAAATTTTATATTTAACACATACAGGTATAACGACAATAAACGCTTGTAGTAAAACGCTATTACAAAATCATTTAAGAAAACAGAATCAATTGTGTAGTATGTAATCAAATTGGTGAAAATTTGTGTGTTTATTGCACAGACATACTGTTAAAAGTATTTACATTAAAATTGATGTTAAAGAGGATAGCATTTTTTACTCCCCAGAGATAAATTCAATTTTATGTAAAATATTTAAAATTAATATTATTTTAAATGAATTTATAGATTTTATAATGATTAGTTTTGCATGAATTTTAAATTTAATTTAATGTAAAATTCGTTAAATTTGATTCGAAGCACAGTCATTTTAATTTTATTACGTTAATTTAATGATTTTTTGGCATGTGAAATATAAAATGTCAATTAAAATTAATTTTTCAATTGGAATTTGATAACATAGAAATAATACGAAAAGTATAATATTTGTTTAAAATCGTGCTTTGACTAATATAATAGTTTTTACTTTGCCTCTTGCACATTTACAGATAAAGGTACGCACCATCTAGTGCCATGTTCTAATTGAAGATATTTATTATTGGTGTAAATCTAGTATGTTTCTAGCCAATCATATTCCTTTGCGGGTCATTTCAAGAAATCAAAAACTTTCAAAATTTTAAAATTGGCCACGCCCCTCGGTGGTGGGGAAATAGATTAATCATTCTAGAAACAAGCACTTTCACTAGACGACTTTTGATACATCATTTGTAATTCTATATCGATTAGTAGGCGGTCGGCTTTTGATTGACGTGTGCCTTCGGTCTCTTTGATTTCAGAATAGGTGTCAACTCGATTCTGTTCTCTTACAGAAGTTCAGTAATTTCACGCTAGATGCTGCTGCAGTGTCCATCTATAATGTGAGAGTAGCTAAGCTAATTAGAAATTGCAAGCAAATACTTTGTTAAAGAATTATACATGTTGAGCCTATAATAGAGATCCCACAGATGGCGAAAGTCTAATACGAATTTCGGGCCACGCGTGCAGAAATATTGTAGAATGAAAAATGTGCTTCAGCCCATTCATTCTCCAGCAGAGTGTGGTAAAATCAGCGTATATATCACTTGCATGCAACCGTAAAGAACGAGACCTCATAGACGCAGTAAAAAAAAGGGAACAAGAGAGAAAATTTTGCTACACATACGGATCACGGATAAGGGGGTTATAATGTATCTATATCTAGGCAGCTTGCGCGAGTGTTCTATTCCACCCTCGAGCCAAAAAAAAAGAGATGGGGCTTCTAGACTGCAGATTTATGCGGCCCGCCTTGCACCGCTGATATCCAAGAACTCACGAGAGTAGCTTCGCTCGTAATGAAAGAAATAAATTTACTCTCACCTCTCTCTCTCTCTCTCTCTTATCTATCTCTTTTTATGTCGCACAGCCCTAGAATAAGCGTATACATTAACGCGTATAGGCATACACAAAATTCAGCGTTTGTATACATGATTGATTTCAAACTCTCTTGTTTTCCATCTTTTCTGAAGATTCTATCGAAACTGCGTGTTATTTGACACATGCTGAGGTAAATTAGACCCTCGTAAAGGAGCTCTCAATTGCTCTTCGCGTATATATATTTCAGAACCACTGATAATAGCATCTCTTGTGGCTTCCAAAAGTTGTTCTCTGTCTCACTCTGGCTCGGACGGGAGCTGTTTGCAGCTTACACGCACAAGCGCGCGCGTCGGAGAAGCTCTTTGAACACAAAGCTATTTTGGTGCTTGAGCTGCTGCTGTTATGGATCTGCTTTGACTGTGAGGCTGATGAGTTCTGGCATTGGCTCTGCTATTACTTGTCATATACTGGGAAGGCTTCTGACGATGCGTTTAATGCTCTTGTCGTTTTAAAAGAGCAGTCATGAAAGTGATGCATTGAAAGCTAAATGATATAAGCGCGAGTTAAATTAATTAACCGAGAAAAATTAATGATATTATGGTAATTTTGGAAAACTGAATGCGAGTGTGAGAACTCTATACAATAATGAGCTGAGCTCGATGACAGCCGGCATGCTCTGGTAAGTCAGAAAATATCAATTTTTCTTAGTCGTGAACTCTTACAATCGATTAGGATCTCGTAAATCATTAACTGCATTCATATCACTTCTCGTTCATAGTGAGTTGATTCATCATTTAATAGTTTACCCACTAATATGATGAGGAATCGCCTTAATAGTCAGATCAAATGAAAAAGTGTTTATTGATTACGAATTATCCAGAAGGAAACATAAAATGAGGTCATTTAAGTTTGTAGTTAATTAATTAATATGAGCCAGATGTATAGTTCTACAAATGTATTTTTATTAAAGCAAGTATGGAAACTCAACAATATTTACAAATCGATATAAGTTTACAATTGCCGATGAAATAATTACAATTGTATTATCAGATTATTTCATTATTAAACGACACACAAATACGACTCAAAAAATTAGCGGCTATTTGCATAAAGCCGCCGTGTTACAATAAAACACATTCATTCGAATCGTATACATTTATTTACTTTCACAAGCATACAATATTTTGATAGACCCGACAAGCGCTCAATTGAACGCATTTGATATTTCATGCAAATAATACATGTACGAAAATTTAATTCTAGATTATAGAAAAACATAATTTGTAATTTGACGTCAAGAGGTTTGCTCTTCCATTGTCGTTTGAAAGAGCATAATTAAAATTATCTAAACCAATTAGAAGTATACGATTCTCGCAGGCACCTAATAATTCGTTTGATGCTGCATCGATTTCACCATTTTCAATGGGATAAAATAATTTGTAACAAAAACTTTTATAATCTAAAATATCACAGCATAGAACTTCGACCGTTTCTTGATCCAAAACACACGTCTACATAAATCACAGTTTTCAATTTTTCAGTCTTTGATATTACACCTCACAAACTTATGGGTGAACTGCTGCACCGATCCGCTGGCCGTATAACGCGTAAGGCGCGTAATAGGGCGAAAGAGGATTGAAAGCGCTGTAAGGCGATGCTGAAAGTGACGTGGGCAATGGAGCTCCCGGTGGTTTTCCATATGGATGATATCGTCCGGGACTGAGGGGGCTGATCGAGGTCGATGGATAAGCTCCGGCTTGAGCGGCGGCTCTCTGTAACGCTGCCGACGGCGACATTAGCTGATGCTGAGCGGCCAGAGCGGCTGCGTGATCGGCGTTGCCGGACGTGTGAGCGGATTGCAAGTGTTGCCACAGCTCCTCCGAGGTAGAGAACCGTTTGCCGCAGTAAGTCTCACCTGCGGCCCAGTTGCAGATGTGAGGTCGGCCGGCTGCATTCGCGGCAGCGGCGGCCGCGTGCGCAGCTACCGATGGCATAGCGAAGGCGTGACCCGGAGCTACGGGACCCATGCCGGGCAGTCCGTAATTCAGACCGTATTTTTGATGATCGCACTGATTGCAGCCACTGGGGCACGGCGGTCTCGCGGCGTTGGCCGCTTGTTGCGCGGCCATCATCATCTGCGCACTGGACATGCTGTAGGGGCAGCCCTGGCAGTAGGGATCCTTGCAGACCGGTACTGGCACTATGCTCTCGCCACCGGCGGCATTTTTCACTCGAGTGTAGCCAAGATGTTGGTATGGGTTGGCGGTCGGTGCACCCGGCACGGGATAGCCCAGAAGCGCGGCGGCCATGGCCTGATGATGCGCGAAAGGCGATGTACCGACGAAAGGAGGACGGAAGGCTGGATTTTCACTCATTCCCGGTGGACAACACAGAGGATTTGGGCTAGGAAATCCAGGCACTCCGGATTTATATATACCACTTGCACTATCTTTTCCGGACAACACGTCCATACCGGAACGGATAATTGGACTGGCACCACCGTTGCTGGTACTGGTGGCCGGTGTGCTGCTTCCGTTGCTGTTGCTGCTATCTTTTTTCGATGATTTTTCACTATCAGCGTGAGGACTCTTTTTTCCAGAGCTCGACGCTGCACTTGGACTACTGGCGGGTGAGACGGTTTTACGTCCTGCCGCTGGACTCAAACGTGCCTTTTTTGTAACATTATTGTTCTCGCTATCGACACTTGCACTGACACTGTCGTTACTAGAACTATTCACACTGCTTGCTTTTGAGGCAGGCCTCGTAGAAGCGGCACTTTCCGATTCACTGGATTTTCGCTTCGTTACAACGTTGCTTTCGTATGGTTTGTAAGCTAAATTAATCGAGTTGTTGTTCTTGCTGTCCGAAGGACTAGAGCGAGTGCGCTCGAGTTTGGCTCCGGTGGGAGACCGATTTGGATGCGATGTGTTTGTTGAAGATTTGTTGGCTTTTTCCAAGGACGAGAGCAATGGTTTGCTTGGCGAATCTGCACCTATCTGGCTGCATGTTTGCGCCAAAAGAGCGAGAGGACTGTTTTTGGAGTCCAACTGAAATGAGATGAATAAATTCATTATAACAGTGAAATTTAATGAAAAGAAAGTGTAAAAACGTCAAATTATATGAAAAGTATCGAAATTTAAAAAAAATCGATTCTTACCGTTGTTGATATTGGTGGTAAATAGTCTGGATGCAAATATTGGTTGTGATTGTTAGTCATCATGTTGGATTCCTCGAGTACAACCATTTGGTTTTCTTGAGATGCGTTTATTAGCAATAATTCACAAAAACGATGAAAATTAAGATGATTCGAATAGTGGATTATTTAATCCGCACATTCGAACTCGTACACTATGTCGAAGAATCTCAGCAAATGAGATCGGAGCGGCTTACTCGTGCCGTCGGATGACTTTTCACAGTAACACTTTCTATAGATGTATATTCACTGAATATTCGCAGAGTAGAGACCTCGATCACTACAGCGCGCACGAAGTAATGTTCGCCTAGAGGCTAGGAAGCGGAATGAAGCAGTCTGTGCTCGCCGCTCGCTCTCTTTCCCTTCTCTCTCGTCGTGCACCACCACCACCGCTGCCACTCCACTCGGGGGGAGATCGAGCGCCACCTAGCATACTCCTCGCGCAGTGCCGTCTATATGCTGTGTGTATAGGATTGAAAGTGGAGTCGCCGTGCAGTGGGGGGGAAGATCAGAGAGAGATAGAGAGAGAAAGAGAGCGGGGAAGTGAGAACATCGGAGCCGCGGTATTGTTCAAGGCAAGTTGTATTATAGAGTATATGGATAGAAAGATTCTAATGCGAGCGTGCCACCCATGATGAAGCTGGCGCGTTGACGATGACAGCTCTCATCTATCTATATAATACACGCTTACATATTACACGCTGCTTCGTAACACGGCGACACAATATCCGTTCCTACTTTTCGGTATAGGCACTCCGAGTCGCCGCATCGTAGTCGTAATGATCGACGCCAGACCACATGCACGCTATATAGTGTATATATTTGTCTAACAAGAATATATACTTAATAATTCTACACGTCGTTTCCTTCCGATTGTGCTCTCTTCATTTCCCATGGCAGTAAATGAAAAAACATACGAATTATAAATAATATAAATATTGTTGATATAAAGTCGAAGAGGGACGTATTATTATTTAAGTTGTATATAGCGTCTCGTTGCGCGAACAATAACAAGTTAGGCATACATAGCCGTGTCAGAGAGCGTTGCGCGCTCGCACGGTAAAGCTCATGCACTTGATTGATTGCCTGTCAGGGCGACTTACGGCCGCAGAGGCCCGTCAAGGCTTTGTACGAGAATGACAGCTACTTAAGCGCGTTTGGCTCGGGTTATTTGACGATTTTACGAAAACGCTTTAATTATCGGACGTCGTCGCCGTCATCGCTGCCACGCCGGGAGAGCTAGAGAGAACGAGAGAGCCGAGATTGCCCCTTAGGGCTATAAATATATAGGCTATATATACGTATGCGCGATAGCTTCTGCTGCGACTGCACAGCACAAGCCAATCGGCGTTTTTGGCTCATTTCGTACCGAGTTGAATGTTATGCCTCAGACTTGCATTCTCTTTAAAATCGATCGTAATCTTTATTTAAGAGATATTTGAAAAACAGCTGTAATGACCGTCTCCAGAATTTGTGAATTTATACGATCGTCTTTCACAAGTTATTCATCAAACAGATTCGAACAACCGTACGAAATATAAATGTGAGTAATCTTAGGCTATTAAGTATTAGTTTTATTATTCGACAAACAAATCTGGCATTCATAAAACTATGACACTATTCAAATATGATCAATCAGGATGATGTTATTTGTTCTCTTGTCATATTCAACAGAAAAACATGACGCTTTTATTTCATCGTGGTTAATGGTACGCGGAAAAGCAATTATACTTATTTTTCACATAAAATGCTTATTTATGTATTTTCATTTTTCTTTTAAAATATTGAATCACGCCGCATTCAAAATGTAAATCGGAATGGCAGTCACACCACGTATACACAGAGAACGCTGCATAAATTTCGCAGCATTTGTACGAATAGCATCAAGTTGACGATGCACCGAAAACGAGATAAACGTGTAGTCGGAAAAAAAGTAAAAAATTTAGCAGCGAGTCAGCAATTCGATGCCATCACTAACACTTAAAGTTATCATAATTTAGCTCTCAAGCAGCGCAACTTTGCAAAAGAAGATGTAAGGCCCCTTTGGGCAAACATTTCGGCGTATCGTTAATTCATTGCCGAGAAGGCCCCGAAGCTGAAGTATCAGCCATTAAAACTCTGACCGGTCCTATTTATGTGCTATAGCATGTAGAATGCCCGAGCACATCAATTAAATAGGAAAATTTAGTCAAGCGTATACATCGTTTAAAAAGGCAAAAATGGAGCGAAAGAAGTAACGAAGGAAGATAGGGACAAGGGAAAAAGGAGAGAGACCATATAGCCAATTATCGGGGCGGTTCGTATACGCCGAGGCTCGAGGTGGGCGATAAGTGGTCGCGTCATTCCTGCCGCGGCGGTCGCGGGTATCTTCAAACGCGTGGCCTGCAGTACCGAGTCAAGCAGGCGCGAGAGAGAAAGAGAGAGAGAGAGAGAGAGAGACAGAGACAGAGAAAGCATTCGTCGCCTCGGGGGCCTTTTTCTCGATCGCTACCGGGCTTCTGCGATACTACAACGAGATTAGCCGCGCACATATATACGGCTAACACGCGCAGCAGCGAGAGCAACAGCGAGAGTCTCTTAATTCTCTTGTCCTGTGGATCTTCGTCGTCGTTGTCGTCTTCTCGAGTATTTCTTTCTTGCTTATATACTTTTTTCTCTCCATCTCTGTCGATTTCATTGCTTTCTTTTTCAATTCAAAGCAACGGCAGCGAAGCAGATCTCTCTCGATGCAACAAGAGCAAAGACGTGCACGAAAGCAATCTTCTCTCTCTTTCTCTCTTCTCGCTGACCGAAAACCGAGATGAGCGAAAAATTGTCAGCGTATCTTTCACGCGTGTAGCGCTAAATAAAAAAGGGAAGACTTGGCGATCGCGGCTTTAAAAACAGCTCTTCATTATACAGATAAGCTCTGGTCGTGTTTACGTGAGCAACGACGGTGGCGATACACGAATATATTTTTGTGGCGCACGCCCGTGAGCTGCTGGTATGTTTTTCATGCGAGGCACACGACGTCTGTACGCAAAAGCATGTAATGAAAAGCTCGACAGATCTTTACAACGGAACAGACGCAGCACCGCCTTGTAACTCACAATTTAATACTCAATATTGTACATTGATTGACTACTCTATTGAATGTGTTATTAAAAGATTTCTTTGTTTCCGACTAATCCCTCTCAAATCCTTCAAATCTCGGTATCATTAAATGACTGAACTTCTTAAAAATTACGAAAAAGTAATATTTTACGCTATTTTACTAAATGAACGTTGTATACAATGTAGTCAAAATATTAAATGTGCTGAGTGTAAATTATAAAAAAAAAAGAATTTCTAACAAAAACTATCGAGCTTTTTTTCTACGATAGCTCGAATTTAATTTAATAAAATAGAATTTTCAGGAAACTAATACACAGGTGAATCAAATCTAGATTTATAAATCATAATAATTCATTTATACAGGTAGGATATTTGATGACTTTTGATTTTAGAATGTACAATAAAATAGCCAATTGTTTAGGAATTACAAGCTCAAAATTACTATGCTCGTCATGTGTCGAATAAATCTCAGAATTTCTAATCCCGCGCCTTTTGTCATTGTGGCTTGTCATCATTATTATCTTCTCGTATTCGAATAGATCATCATCATCATCATCATCATTATTGTCTTGAAGAGACCGACCCCAGTGATTATTGTTTTTGGTTTTGTTTCTTTTTGTCGAGTAAATTTGAAATAACAATACAAGCGTCCAACTGTGATCACGCGGAATGAATTTCCGCTCTCCGTTGCCACCCGTGTAGACCCTCAAACGCGCACGTCAAAGTCTGTTATGCGAAATTATTCCGTCATCCATCCTGTCAAAATGCCCAAGTGGTTTCTGTATTTTTCTCGGATGTGTGCGTGCGCTGTGTAAATCTGTACACACACTGGCTGACGTATAGTTATAACGCTGAGGTTGTGGATGAACGGCGCCGCTAACGACCTAACGCCGCGATCCCTGTGTTCGTCGCTCACTCTTTCTCTCGGCTCTATACGAGCTGTTTTCGTCTCAACGCTGACGGATGAGTTTACAGCTAATGTAGCACTTCTTTGATCTTCACCGCGTCAAGAAAAGCCTTCTCCTTTGCTGCTCTCCTTCCTCATCTTATTTATCTTCTTTTGGAGTTATATTGCTCAGCTTTGTCGTGCCATACAACTTTACGCTCGAGTTCCCTTTTCTCGTTATCGAATCTATCGCTTAGCTTCTTTATGACCCTTCGATAGATCGAAAGAAAAGGATAGTGGGACAAGATCGATTCGGTAGATTATAATCTTTTTTGAAAAATAGATGTATCGAGAGTATAGTAAACCTTATAGGCTGTGAAATAATACATAACTCGAACTTAACAAATACGAAAAAACATAAATATGACCGATGCCATATTTAGCACCTCGAAATCTGAGAAAATAAATTATTCTGTCATTAAATTGACTTTCAATGAATCATATTTGAACAGATTTCAGATGACATAAAAATAAATATAACACGCAATAAAGAAGTTTGAAAAACATATTATTAGTAGAAACTTGCCGACAAGAAATACTCTTTTTTATTAGAAGCTGCTGTTTTACACCAAATATTTTGAAACAAGAAAAAATAAAATTGATTTGATAGAATTTCCTGTACGAGTTCCTCAAAAACGATGTACACCACTTCAATGCGTTGAAACGAGATTTTTTTTCTTTATAGGTCACTGCCGATGCGAAAACGATCTAAGGTAAATACACTCAATGAAAGAAACGATAGTAAACTTGTAAAAGTATCAGAATCAAAGAAAAGTTCATAAGTTACAAATTTATTTTTTAGTTTGGATAAGAAGAGAGAGACGTAGATCAATTATACATAAATGCGGGTACGTGTTTCCTTTTTTTTTATTAGACTTTTGAGAAAGGCACTTTTTAGGTTTTGTGTCTAACTATTATTGCACTTCTCATTTCCCAGTTTTGATGCTTGTATGCGGTTCCTGGGGGATTTCTTATTCTTAAAGAGCAAGAGAGAAAGAGAGAGAAAGAGGGACAAAAAAGTCAAAAAAACCTAATGTAGAAATGAACCGCCACCACTGAGCATTGGCTGATTTATTGAAGTACGACTTGTTCTCCCGCCGAGAAACACAGTGTCGAAAAAATTGCGGTATTAGTCATCTCAACGGGCGGGCACGCGATGAGCGACACACGGGAAAAACGTATTAATCTATTATGATGTCAAGCAATAAAATCAATTATGTTAATATAAGAATCGCTCTTATAGCCATCTCTCACTTTTGCTCGATTTTTATA